CCTATTTAACATTTTTTATTTCTTTACTAGATGTGCCAGCCATATATTCTCAAGTGATAAGAAAGGATAAAATTATAATAGAACACAACTTATCAGTAGATTGTGACTGCAACCTTAATTTTTAAATATATGTATATATATATACATATATTTATTTATTTATTTATTTATTTATTTATTTATATTTTTACTTAAGACTCCCAAGCCACTTGATATGACTACAATTTCTCTGAAAGCCACAGCTCTCTTTCTCAAGCTTCCTCATGTTGTGCAAAATTATTTTTCTCCTTCTTAGCCCTGAAAAATACATGGTTCAACTACAGCCTATAGCTATGCTTCAGAACCCTTTCTTTAAACAAAATCTTTAAGTAAAAGCCTAAAATATAAAAACTAAAATGGTGCTACACTTGTTAAAATGGTAGCGGAAGGGGTGGTCTGGAGCCACCCTATTATGCTCCTCTCACAGGTGCCCTGAAATTCCTAGGAGCAGTTTGAAACCATCTCAGCCATATGCTCCATCTACATTGGACCATTTGACATTTCCATGAACAACATATTTGTTTACACTTCTGCATCTTGACACCTATATCTTGCCTCCCCCTTTGAACTGTATTATTCAAGAATCACCTTCTTACCAAACACAATGTCAAGGAGTCTTTTTCAGATTCAAAAATATTCACTGAACTATTACAATAGCCAGGCTCTGTGTATCTCTGTACCATATGCTACTGAAATCATTTACCTGTTATATGTGTCCCTTCTAGAATGAGCTCCAGGAGGCACAGACTCATTCATCTGAGTCTCCAATGTCTAACCAAGTGCTCAGCATACAAGGTGCCCAAGAAGTTGCCAAATAAATGAATTTTTAGTCTACCTAGATCATATGCACCTTTCTGACTGACTGCATCTGTCTCTCCTGGCCTGAGAGAACAACTGATCATCTTTTTCCTATTTGGGTAAAACATGAACAAAGTCTGAATGACAGTATCTCATGGTGCCAGATCGTAGAAATGTTAGTAGATACAATTTTGTCAGTGTTAATTTATCCTTATGGCTTTCTGAGTGGTGGCCTGTTAATTTTTACCCTGCCCCCACCCCCCCCATGATTACCTCGTTTTCATCTAATTTACTGTTACTCATCTAACACTCCAGGTTGCTAAAAGAACAAGTAGCTGCAAAGAACACAAAGAAAAACAACATAGGAAGTTACTGCACACAGGTTACCAAGTTGATTTTATAAAAGGCCTAGGTAAATACAAACCGGTAGACAAAATACTGAAATGCACATTCATACCATAATCAAGTACACATATTTTTTAACTGGGACAGGAATAGCTATGGGTAACCATAGAAGTCTCAAGTTGTCTAAAGAAAGAATAAAACTGCCTTGAACTGTAACCCTTAGAAACACTAACCTTATTCGTATTGCCTCGTGAGTGGTGTCCTCCGAACAAGTACAGCATCCTGTCTACACACACGGCACAGCTTCCTGACATGGAAGGAGGAACATCACCTTCAGTGTTCATTTTCTTCCTGAGAGGAAAGCAATGTAAATAAGCCTCCCGCAAGGGAAATGCAAAAATATTTTTATTTTTCTTCTATTTCCACAATAAAGGAGGGAAAATAAAATGAACAGGTTGACTAGATCATGTCCAGGGTCTCATCTAAGCTCTAAAATTAATTCAAAGAATGAGCTCTTTCCTCTTCATTCCGCAGGCTTTGCTGGTCCTGCACAGAGGCCAAATGAGAGCTTCTAAAAGCTACAGTGTCACATTACCCCAGGAGCGCACCATTTTATGTTTCTTAAACTAAATTGTTTGCTTTCTATTTACATGGCCATAAAGTGGTTGTTTTGGTTTTTGTTCTTGACTGGGCCAGGAAAACAACAGATTAATTCAGTCCCAGTCCTGACAGATTAATTCAGTAGGTGTTTTTATTTGGTCACCGTTAGCCATTCAAATGAATCTGATTCAGATCATATGTAATACTACAGACACTTATGTAGTACTTACTATAGGTCAGGCACTGCTCTCAGTGCTCTGCATATTTTGACACATTCTGAATCTAAAAATAAAGCTGAATCAAAACTAATTAAGAAATAGAAGATTCAGAATATTAATAGGTCACTCAAGGTCTTCTCACAATATCACTTTATAATAAGGTTTTAAGTTTTAATAGGCTTAATTTTTTTAAATTACGGGGCTGATTTATTATTTTTATTTATTCATTTATTTTTCATTCCTCACGCAAGAATATTTTTCCATTGCTTTTTTAGAGAGCGGGAAAGACAGAAATACATCCATTGGTTGCCTCCTACATGAGCCCACCAGAGCCCAGGCCGGGGAGGAGCCTGCAGTGGAGGTACATGCCCTTGACCGGAATAGAACCTGGGACCCTTGAGTCCCCAGGCAGAGGCTCTATCCCTGAGCCAAACCAGCTAGGGCTATGGGGCTGATTTTTAAAAATATGTAGAATTCCATATTACAGGGATACTATTACACATTTCCAATTATCTAGAAAAAGATTGGCAAACAGCTCAGAAAACACCGATTAACTATGTACAGAAGAATCTTAACATGCTTAGTTTAACTGTTAAATCAAGTGGGAGTACTATTCCAGTTCTGAGATCTATAATATGTAATATATGTAAAGCACAAAGTTCTCAGAGTGCAAACCACGGGGAAAGACTACTTCATAAATCCTCAAACACAACTAACCCAGCCTTTTGAGAGTCGCGTTAATCCTGCCACGGACATACTCTTGAGTCCCACTGCTATGAGACTAGCAAAAGACCCTTTCACCATATCCCCATGGAGCAATTGCACTCCAAATTCAACTTAACAAACATGTCCTATGTGCCTACTTAACTCTAGGAGCTAAGGACAAATCTTATAAGATTACACATTGGTCTATCTTTAAGGGTTCACAATCCAGGTGCTTAAAAAATATATGTATATATATATACATATATTTATTTATTTATTTATTTGTGTGTGTGTGTGTGTATATATATATATATATATATATATATATATAATAAAAAGAGAACGTGCAAATTGACCATACCTTCCCTATGCCCCAAGCCATGCCCACCAGCCAATCAGAGCGGCTATATGCAAATAACCCAGCCAAGATGGCGGCCGGCAGCCACGGAGCAGGAGCAAGCAGGAGGTTTGGCTACCCTGGCAATGGAGGAAGCCAAGCTTCCCACTGGCCCTGGCCGGCTGTGGCCTCTGCTAAAGGCAACAAACTTTCAATTATAGAAGATAAATCCCAGATACCTGCTTCCAGCCAGCCTCCACTGGGAGCTTGGGTTGCTGGGGG